TGAGTCTGAAGATTGCTGTCTTCTGGGTTGTTGTGCTCTGTAGTCTGGTAGATGTCCACCAACGTTTCAGAGGTCATGCTGCCTCTGTCATCACAGAGCAACAACCCGGAAGACAACAATCTTCTACCTGTAAAGTTTATTGCACAGGCAGTATCACTTCCGTAAAAACTGATGCTCAAGATCAGCCTACACCTCAACAGTTTCACTTGCAATCCAAATTACATTTTTGAAAAAGTTTTGCTCTAACCCTCTAAAACCAAGTGACAACCACATTTATCACCTGATTTAACAATCAGTAACTCTGCATTTTGCCTTTTCAGTGAATTTATGGGTTTCACATATTTTTCAAAACTAATTATTCCCTTACACAGAATTAACTGATTGTCGAGCTTTGTAATAAAGATGTAGTTTCTTTGCAGTATGGATTGAATTTTTAAATATTGTTATAAAAGGAGAAAGCTGCTGAATTTGTTTTGTTTTCAGAATTCTAAATTATATGCATAATAATCAACCTGACACACCAGTATATTTATATTTCTATGATATCATTATACTTTGTAATCTTCACTTAAAAATGTTATGTCTGTTCCATTTCATGTTTCATATTTTGTTTTCAAGACTATATTATTATTACACATACCTGCTACATAACCTAAACAAGCGATATGAAATTATAAAATTTCAAAACAGACCCACAGACTCACAATAGTAATCAGATGGGTTCTTGTAGGCTGGGCAAGGATAATCCACCATGGCAAAATATGGCAGCATCTCACGTCTGCGACCACTGAACATCAGTCGACCCGCAGAGACTAGTGCCACATGCGACAACATCGTAAATATCTCATAAGTCGGAGGATGGATAGTCAAAATCACTATTCTCCCTCCAGTCACACCTGCAAAATAGTTTTAATTATAACATGTGTACAGTCACTGGATGATCACTTTCTACTTCACTTTGTAAAGACATTTCAGAAATGCTTGATGGGTTCTAAAATTTAAATACCAAGTGTGCAATGTCCTAAAATTAGTTTAAAGAAGTCTGAAGGATGAACAGTCGGTTCAGGAAATACAAAGTGGACACGAGAAAATGGCATATACATAAAACTTCCATATTACATTTGCAGTTAAAAATGCCTAGGATTAAAATATTTACTACTATAACAAAATTCAGAGATAAGAAAAGGAAAACATTTATTCATCCTGAAATGCTAAAATATGCCAACTGTTGTTATATTAAACTGCTATTCAAACTGTGATGCATTCATCACCCTAATGATGAAGGAAGCTAGCACCTCTGATATGTCGGTAAATTGACTGACTCTATGTCACGACAGCCCGAAGCAGAGCCTTGGCTTCCTCCCATGTGGGAGGTTTTTTTGTCTTTGAAGTGTGCATTTATGAGTAGTGAGTGACAAGACCACTGCATCTGTACAATTTCTACTTGATCCTGGTTTGACTGCTAGAGCCATCTAGTAGTGAATCAGGAGAGACTTGGGTGAGAATGAATTTTGCTTACAAAACTTCTTGTTCTTGCCCATAAGGTTCTTTTACATGCTGTAAATCTACAACATGGGACCGCTGGCTTTACTTCCCCTCCAAAGGAAGTTGTGCTACGGATATTTATCACCTTTAAAAATCCACTGACCTTGGCCGAGTTTGAACCCGTGAACCTTGGGTCCAGTGGCAGGCACGTTAACCACTAGTCAACTGAGGGCGACTTTTATTATAATCAGGTAATGATAATACACTTTTAGCCACACTAAAGCAACTTTTAAACTTGTAGCGAAAACCCTAGCCCATGAGGCAAAAACATTAATGTCATATTCATAACTTGTTATCCCACCAAGTCTAACCTGGAACTACAATTAAGAAGCTAAAGTGACAGAAGCCTTCAAGTGGTCAATAATTTTTATATTTAATATTTACATCCTGTATACACCACTGGGTGCTCATGCTAATTTGTGGCACTTCGGTTTTAAATAATAATTTATTATTTCACCACGATGCTTCTTCCCTTTACCAAACAAATCAATGTAACAAATTCTCACCTAGAATACGTGAAAGGAGAGGCAATGCTGAGCTCAATATCAATGCAAGGCCACAATTCGCTATGATGTGAGTCAACGAGGTCATTTTGGTCCTTGGCCTCATTTGTGATAGGAACGGTAAAGTGTAAAGTCCGACAGACGATGTCGCAATAAGGTAGAATATCAGTAGTATCTCCAAAGCTGCACCAATTGGACCCAGTTTTGACAAAGAACTAATACCTAACGAAAATTGCTGAAACACACAAATCAGTTCTAAATTATACCATTTCTATGACAACAACTATATGTAACCACTTAAATGTTTGTATCACAATAAATTCAGGTTTTTTATAAAAGCAGATGGGAGGACTTGATAATCCATGGCAGAAATGGGACACACGGGGTTACTTTAAACTAAACAGTTCAAAATCTGTCAATGATATTAAACCAGATATACCAAAGTCAATCACCCTATGGTGCATGATATTCTTTGAGAAGTCGACTGTTACTTGACTTGTTCAAGGAATAGCCCACTTTCCTTATGGAACCCAAAGGTTCAACACCATTTCACATTTCCTGAGCTAGCTGTATCCAGTTCTCTCCATTGATGCCAATCTCCCTAAGGTCCATCTTAATGTTATCCTCCCACCCACATCTAGGTCTTCCCAGTCGTCTGCTTCCTTCAGGCGTACCAACTGATGCCCCGTAAACATCCCTGCCCTCCCCGCGCATGCTGCGTGTCCCGCCCACCTCATCCTCCTCGATTTAATCACCGTAACAATATCAGGTGAGGGGCACAGGTCGTTAAGCTCGTTATGCAATTTTCTCCTTGATCCGTGTCCCTCCCTTTTAGGTCCAAATATCATCCTCAGCACTCTGTTCCTCCTTTAAAGTGAGAGACCAAGTTTCGCACCCATACAACACAACTGTAAAAATTACGTTTTTGTATATTTTAATTTATAGTTTTTTGATAGGAGATGGGAGTACAAAAGATTTTGAACTGAATGACAAGCATTTCCTCAATTTAATCTGCTCTTTATTTCATCGAAAATGTCATTCCGACTTGTAAATTTTATCCCCAAGTACTTGAATTTTGTCACATTTTCGAACATTCATTTGCTACCCTCATATTCTGGTTCTGTTCTGAATTCTGATGCTGAGACATGATCACGTACTTCGTCCTTTCTGCATTTATTTCTAGACCAACATCCAAACTAGTCCCTAAGTATTTATTTAATTTAAAAGCAATTTATTTAATGGGTATTTATATAATTACCCAAGAGATTAATATCATTAGCACAGACCAAGAGCTGATGTGTCCCATTAAATTCCAAACCACCCTGACTTTCTTGGACCTTCCTAATAGCATATTCTAAGGAAAAGCTGAAGAGCAGTGGCGATAGAGCATCTCCGTTTCACGCCATTCTGAATAGGAAATGTATCGGACAAATATTTATCTACACAAATTTTGCTAGAGGTTTTGCTTAAACACATTTTAATTAGGCAGACTAGCTTCTTAGGTACACCAAATTCAAGCAAAACATTGTAAAGAGCATCTCATTTAACTTAGGCTTTCTTGAAGTCTATAAATAGATGACGTACTGTTCCATTGTACTTCCACTTTTTCTCTAGTATCTCGCAAATGTAGAAAATTTGATCAGTTGTAGATCAATTACTCTGGAATCCACATTAATTATCTCCAATAATTTCATTGGCATACGGAGTCAACCTCGCCATAAGAATGTTGGTTACAATTCTGTAGGCAACAGATATACCAAACGGTATACAAATAACATTAATGATTAATTCAACCTGTTTTTCTATACGAGACACTCCGCTTAAATTTTTCATGTTGGGGAGATGACATGGAAAATTAAAACAGTAAATATGTAAAGCATCTTAGTGTCAGCTGACTTACTCTAGTGCTCAGAGGAAGTGCTTTTATTCCTATCAGCAACTCTAGCGTATTCTGCAGCACCATAAGCACCGTGACTGCTGTCAATGCACAGAGCAACAACATGGCCACAGGGTACATGAGATTCCTCTGAAGTGAGGATGTGTGTCTTTGTTTGTCTGGAAAATAAATGAGTGGATCATTGCAAAGTCATATGTCTTTTTATGTGGCAGACGTGATCCTGCAAACCACTGTCTAAATGAACGGATAATTTACTGTAACGAGATGGAGCTCTCAAATGATAAACAACTGAGACATTGAAGATTTCCGTCTTCTCGGTTGTTGTGCCGTGTAGTCTGGTAGAAGTTTACGTGGCGCAACAACCCAGAAGACAGCAATCTTCAGACAGACTGCTGTGAAAACCTCAAATCCTACAATTTATACATTCATTCATGCAGTATGTTTACAATTTTATCCAATACTAAATTAAAAGTGACATTAAATTCGTCATTATTCATCAAAAGCACACAATCATCTGCAATGTTGCCCCTTACTGACCACATAACGTTACAGTTACAACTGAAATGACATAAAAGCAAAAGATGTATTTTTTTTAATCGAAAAATACATAAACAGAGAGATCATTGCATTACGAGGAATTACCCAAGTACAAAGCGCTACACACTAATTACTGTTCATGTATCTACGCAACTCAAAACATGAAGCTTGCTTGTCTACAGACCTTTTTATTAGTAACGTCCCACACAAAAGTAAACTTCTAGGTGAAGCATTTCTCACAATGTTGGATAAAGAACAGATATTAAAATATAAGCACCATTAGCATAAATTTTATTTATATATAACTTAGTTCAAGAATCAATAACCTTTTTTTTTTGGGGGGGGGGAAATTGCACTATTAAAATAAGGCACCATAAAACTGGACAATGTATTTTCTTTTGACAACTTGTTACTGTAATGTTCTAACACTTTCAGTCTATAATTTCATAAATAAAGGGATTTCCACATTATTACTTCAATACCCCCAACAGTTAAATCCCCGTTAAGTTCTCACTGCCAACTCATTAGCAGGCCTACTGGCATTCTTATACAATATAAGTTAATACCGATAATTTCTGCTGCTGACAAGCATAATTATTATTTTTAGGGAAAAAATAACTTGCAATCCACACAGGGTTTGAGGTTTTTAAATGGACCCTAATTTAAAAACAAAATCACTCATCACTGACCTAAAACTTTCCTCCTGAACTGGACCTTGTTGAGTCTCTCCCCAAGACCAGACTGCAGCGCTCCATTCTGAAGCGTCATGAGGATATCAGGATTGTTCTCCATAATATCATCTTCACAGCCAGGACTAACAGGTACTAAACACATGGGAGCAGGTGATACATAGGATTTGCCAGTAGCCGTAGCCAGATTAAGTCGCCGGCTAAGACAGTCTTCCTCCAGTTGAGCAACAAAAAACTCTTCGTCCACATCGCGAAGGAACTGAGGCTTTACTAGAAACTGGCCAACCACACCAAACAAACGCACAAAACCCAAAGGTGTGCACACTGCAAAACACAAAATAATGATTGGTACGATACAACAGAGATCTGAAGCAGTAGATTAAGACATGATTATGATTTCAAATTTACATAACATCCAAATATCTTTCAACTGATCCTACTTTTTGCTTTAAGTGTATTAACTTGCTACCATCTAAATCTGTTACATATCACAGATGGATTATTTTTTGACGTAAATATGTCTATATTTTAAGGTCAGTGTTATTCGGCAAAAATGTGTTACGAAAAAGGAAAACGAAAAAGTGTAACTTAATTGTTATGTTACTTAGGAAACCTCATCTGTTTACTCAGCATTGTTGTTACCTAGGAAACAATATATAAACTTCCTTTCCGTATAGACGAATTTACGTCAAATTCTCCGGAACCGTGGTTCCACTATCAATTTTTTGTTAAATTTAAATTTAAATTTAACTGAATAAAGCTGAGGCTACCCAAGCCAACAGAATTTGTATGAACTACTGTTGCCATTACACAGTGTATAGAATTTTTCAAAAGGCACTGAATATTTATTTTCTTCTGATTACTGTGATTCCACCAAAGATTTGTATGACAGAATATTAAGAAGGGTTATAGACTGCCAATGAACATTCTAGAAAATTCTATGGTGCACTTGTGCAGTTTATAAAAAACATACACAGGTCCAACGTTTTACTTTTTAACGTTGTGTCATTTGATGACACTGGTTGCTTCTTTGGTTACAAAACAGTTTGAATTAAACAATAGAATCTATGGAAAAGAGCAACATAAATTACTAATCACTTATTTAGTCTGCGTAAACTTGTCTTTGTTAATATCTGTTGTGTACACACACATGAACAAATGCCTCCCAAAATTCAGGTGGTTATTAAATGGATTATTTTCGTTGAAAAATGAAAAGTGACTGAGGGCCAAGACAAGATAAAAAATCATCCCAAAAGCTCCAGGGAAGAGGAAACGAAGAATGTCATGCGAGATCCATACGTGCCGTTCAAAAACTCTGAACTAAAACTAAGTAATGTTGTTAAACGGTTAAAAACAAATGTTGATTTAATTATTTGGCATAAACATCAATTGTAACAGACGAGTGTTAAACAATGCCACCAGTACGGATAGCACATTAAATGTGACTTACGCAGCTGAAAGATTAGAAATAAACACCCATGAACAAATACAAAAAGTTACTTTCAGCACCTGCCGATTGGGTTCAAAGTTTCCTGTCGGTAGTCACTAACGATCGAAACACGTTAGGCAGTTCAACACTGAGTTACAAGTTAATAGAAAAGACAATGAAATGGCTTGACATGACCGCTCTAGAAACAGCACAGCAGGAGTTCAAAATGAGGATCACAACTGTTGAAGACAGAAATCAACAGAGGGGTAATAGGAACATATCAACTGATGAGACCACACACACGACGCAAGAAAATCACTTCAATTTGGAGAAATTTAAACAGAAACTACATATGACTATACTGCATTTACAATATTTTTATTGACTAACATGTAATAAATGTTCACATATCTACCATTTGAACTTACTCTCATTTTTGTCCATATACAACTTCAGTATGTTGATAATGGTCTTCTGAGTTGTAACACAGTGTAAGACTTGAGGTTCTCACAGCGGTGAGTATGAAGATTTCTGTCTTCTGGGTTGTTGCGCTGTGTAGTCTGGTCGATGTTTACCAACGTTTCAGAGGTCATACTCCCTCCGTCATCAGGGCGATGAAGATTTCCGTCTTCTGGGTTGTTGCGCCGTGTAGTCTGGTCGATGTTTACCAACGTTTCAGAGGTCATACTGCCTCCGTCATCAGAGTATGAAGATTTCTGTCTTCTG